CTATACATCTACGTTTGTAAGATTTTCTTCTAAATATTGGAATGTTTTTCTTCCAGATTCCTTGCTAGCTTGATTACGACTTTGACTGGAAAAAACAAGACACAAATCAGTTTGTGTGCAGTCAAAACAAAACTGCTAGATTATACTGGCCATCACATAAATAAGTGTGCAGTCTGGGAACACTGAAAACTTTATTCTTTTAATTCATACTTTGACCTATGCTGCCTGGTTATAAGTGTAGAAATTAGTTGTTATTGTTATTCTTCAGTTATACAAGATTAATAAAATCAATGACCAATGAAAGTTATTCCTGCAGAATCAGCAGCGACAACAACCTATGTAGATTCACTGTAAATGGTTTGAATTTTACAGGAAGTACATTTTCTGTGCTTCAGCCAATCACAGTGATTTCCACTTGGTAAACCTTGATCAGCTTGTGACTAAATCTTCCTTTGAGTGGGTAGACATCAGTTGTGCGAGAGAAGGCTGAGGTACCACAATGATCAGAAGACTGGCTTCTTTGATTCTTCTAAGTACATTGTGTAAGTTGACTTCACTGAAACATCTGACATTGTAAACAATATAAAACAAAAATCTGTAAGGTTGAGTAATGTTTATATATAGATGATACCTTTTTAAGTGCTTTGTCCTGTCATGTTCTAACCAATTTTTGTTTTGTTTTTAGCTTTGACCGAAGGGGATGAGGGTCCTTTCCAGAGCTCTATAACTGTGACTAAACTTGGAGATAATGTGACTCTGACATGTATAATCCCTAAGGATGATGTTGGGTTGTCTTACTGGTATAAGCTGAATTTTGGAAGCGTGATTGAAACAATTGCCTCAGGAAGTTTTGACACAATATCACTAAAGGGACCATTTAACAACTCAAGATTCAATGCCCCAAAAGTGGGTGATATCTATTCTCTTACCATAACAAATGCAAGCAAAGAAGATGAAGCAACTTACTTATGCCAAGGAGGAACGGCATACAAAATGGAATTTTTTAATAGCACGCTTTTGGTCGTGGATGGTAACGTATTTTAATTTGACTGTTTTTGTCATATCTGCTTCTAAACCCAAATAATTACAGTTAATGCTGTTTTGTGTCTTTTTGTAATTCACACAGATACAAAAACGCTGCAGAAATCTTTCACCGTGAAACAAACTTCAGACGTGGAGTCAGTACATCTGGGTGATACAATGACTCTGCAGTGTTCGCTCCTCTCTGAGAACAAAGATGACACAGATCAGTGTCCAGATGAAGACAAAGTGCACTGGTTTAAAGGTGCATCAGAATCCCATCCAGGCATCATTTACCACGGCAGTCTCAGAAATAAAGAGGACGGGAGATGTGACTACAGTCTGTCCAAAACTGTAACAAACTCATCTGATGCTGGGACGTACTACTGTGCCGTGGCGACATGTGGACAGATCCTGTTTGGTAGAGGAACTGAAGTGGAGATAGGTATGTTTTTGAAGTATTGTTTTAATATTTGCTTATCTGTACTAGTTGTTGCTGCACTGATTTTGTGAGCATGTAAGAGAGCAATTTAAGTTTGATCGATCTTATATAAACATTATAATGTTCTTAAGCCTCACTGGTTTCTTTGCCCTATGAAGTAGTTTTTCAGTTTGCAGCCCACATGAGTTGATAAATTCACAGGTGGCATTCAGCTGCCTCTGTGACCTTTGCTTCTTTTTTCTCTGTACTTTTCTGTGTATGTGTTTTATCCCCATTTCCTGCATTGTTCACGTAAAGGCCTCTCTGTTTCAGCTGCTCATGTTGTCTTGTGTACTTCACATGATGATTTTTGTTGTGACAGTGTTGTTCATATGAACACTTAAAATACACCACAATCCAATAGGAAAATTGTATAATAAGAATATGTCACATGAAGTTTACAGGCATGTTAATAAATTAGTTTTGTTTTATTTTTTCAACTGTGTTTAAACTCTCCCAAATATGAACGTGCTGATGTTTAGCAGAGGGGTGCACTATGACACATGTTCAACATAGCTGGGCTCTTTGTGACAAAATCTAAAATGCAGTGAGAGATGATTGGTCTCATTATCATCTTTCGCTGCAGAAAATCATTAATCTTGTGATTTGATCATGACAAACCCACTGATGAGTAAGATAAATATATCTGTACAAAGAAATTAAGGGAAACAGTTATTCATATTAAAAAAGGCTACAACTGTATTTGTGAACTCTTTCTGCACCACTCTCTTTTATTTCCCGTATATTGACAAATTTCCATGAAATAGTAATTTATCTGTATTATTTTTTATATTATTGTACAATCCAATGGTGAGTAAATGCAATGGGTGAATAAATTAATGCATTCAACACGAGGTACAACTTTCATTTTGCCAGATTCAAAGAGCGTCACCTTTGTGAAAGTGGAAATTGAACTAAGCTACACATAGTTCACTAGCCCATTAATCTGGCTTTGTTGTACAGCTGTTACTTTGTAATGTAGGGAAGAAAAAGTGCTCTTGAGGTTGAGGAGAAAAAGGTTGTCTGCAGGCATGTCATGATTTTCAGGGTGGGCCAAGTTCTTTTTAATATAATTGTTCTGAAGTAGTGCTTAGTAAAAGTTGAACGTATACATAAAAAATCATGAATGAATGTCTGAACTTTTATGATAATTTATTACTGCACATGTAGGAAAATGAGTCAATGAAGTGGTTGGAGTCCAGAATGTTTTTTGTTTCTAGCTTTTGTGAAAAGAGTCTTAAAGTCGTAAATATGAAAACAATCATTATACGTACTTAACATAGAACTGATCTGTATGTAGACGTGCACTGTTACACAGACTTGTAAATGAGATGTTAAATGTCTGGGATGTTTTCTCATTCCAGAGGGGTTCCCGCTGGTTACTGTGCTTGTGATACTGCTGACCTGCTCTGTGGTTGTGAATATTGCACTGATTCTCACCAGAAAACAAAAACCAGATTGGAAACACAGCAGAGGTAGGTTACTGACACATGCATACACATATGTACGCATGTGCACACACACACACGTACAAGTAACATCGGGTGTCGCCTTCTGCTGCTGTTGCTCATCTGCTTCAAGGTTCTGCTCAAAATTCAGAGATTCTCTTCCGGATCCCTTGATTATAATGAGTGTTTTTTTGAGTTACTGTTTACTGTCATGCTCGTGATTGGCCATGTCTACAAAATTACATCTTTCAGCACTTTGCGTGAAAGGTTCCAGTTTTGGTTTATTTAGTGGATGGTCCTCTGAGGGGAAAAAAAAGAAGGAGAACAAAGTTTCCAGTTCATGAACTGCAAAGTTTCTGAACTAGTAGAAATTCAAATGTCACATCAGGTAATATTAGTTCAAGTTTTCTCGGCAGTATACCCCAAAATGTTGTTTGTACTTTCACCACCATAGTTTTTTACGAATTATGAATGTCAGAAATGAACTATGTCCCAACTTCCCATAGAGTACATAAACAGAAGAGCTTCTGCTGAGCCTTTTATAGCAATGACAAAAAATTGAGGTGACATTGGGGAAATCCTCACTAATAATGCATGATGTGATAGATTTCAGTCAGAATTAGACATAAACACTAGAGATCTAGCAAATCTGTCTTGCGCATTTTCAAACACCAAACCTCAGAAGCCCACTTCCTGGATGAGTCACGGATACAGAAAGCGAAGCAGAAGTGGTATCACGTTTCGTTTTATGACCATGATAGTGACTCCATAGACTAATGCAGCCATTGTGGTAGACAGACTTTATTTCTTGATGTAAAAGAACAGGGTGTTCAGAGTATGAATCTTCTGGTGACAGCTAGAGTAGATCAAACTGTGAACTGAATGTATCCATCATAATATTTATAGTAAAAAGAACTGAAGCTAACATGACAGCTAACTGAGTCCCTATGCAGTATTAATTTAGTCTTGATGATTAGATTCTTGGTTCTGACCTGGGAACCATTTACATCAAATAGCATATATTTTTAACACTGTTAACATGTCCATTTTAGGTCTTCTTCCAATGGTAATGTCTTCTTTTTATTAACAGGAAAAGTTACAGCCTCCAATCAATCTCCAGTCAGTCAACAGGAGAGATCGACTGTGGATCAGCTGAATAATGTGGTATATAAAATATTAGATTTTCAGACAAACACAGAACCAGCAAGCTTAAAATTTTCTTTAAGAAAAACACTTTTATCATGTGAAATACATTCAAATTGTCAAATGAATCTGAAGCTGAAGTGTAAAATTACAGTGTAGTCATCGATCACCACTGGCATCCCAACAAAAGCTGTAAGACAGGGGGTTGGATTGGACTGATGAGTCAACAAGAATTGAACTTTGACACAGAGAGACACTCGTTAATGTTCAATTTTCAACTGTAGGGGAGACCGGGGATAGTTGTAACGTGGGTCAGTTGTAACACTTCCA